AAAAAAAAAAGTTCTTCTCCCGCCTGGATTGCGGTTTCTTTTTCGCCTCCTCATCTCGTTTCTATCTTCGGCCAGACTGCAACCAGTCGCGAGGCCAACTGAATGGCTTGACTAAAAGATTAAATTCACTCATTCTTCCTGACACAGTGTCGATCTCATACCCTTACAAGAAAGATGTCCAGGTCTGCTGGTGTATGTCAACTGACGAACAAAAGCTGGTCACTTTTCACTAAATTTGAGGCACGATGTCTCGTAGAGCCAAAAATTCAACTTCTAGTCCTTCCTCATCTTAAATGAAATCGAACGAGCACATCTCATGCGTATACCAAAACCAATTTATATAATAGATTACAACAGGAAACACACGCTTGCGGAACCGACAAACCTATTATAAATATGATTTAGGTGAAGAATGTCTTCTTTTAAAATCCGCAATTGCCATGTGACCCTCTGGCACCCATCAGTGTGCAGTCAAGTGGTACCAACGCCATGATACACACGACTGGGTATCGACTCCTTTTGTTGGTGCTGAGGAGATCCAGGCCATGTCGAAGCTGTGAACCCAACTGGAGGAAATAATCATATGATCAGAGCTTAGCACATTTTCACCAGAGTCGAAGGAGATTGCTCCAGGAACAGTACCATCTGGAGTGTTTCACTAAAGTCAAAGACATCTGGCAAAAAGGGGTATTCAGTCATCTTCTGGTGGAATTCACGTTCGAATCGGTTAATCACACACTTTTACTTCGAAATAGAAGTGGGAGCAACACTTTTAAACAAGGTCACTTATCAAAAACCAATCACAAAGCCTACTCATGCCATTATGGAAAGTCTAAGCTATGAAGCCTTAACTCAGCCTTAGCAACCGAGGCTGATTGGCAGTCTATACGACTACTTCTACAGAAAATATGTAATGGTAGAGGAACTTAACGAAGACCTGACTTGTCTTGAAGGTTAAACCTGCCTAGTGGCCCACGGATGAGGCGGATGGGAGCTGGGCGATGTGGAATCTGCGAATGCATTTTGGGCGATAGGAACAAAAGAAGTGTATATAAATTAGGCTCAAAAACTATCAGAAGCCCTCGCCTAAAAGTGTCAGTCACTCTAGCTCGAATGAGACAAGGAAGGAGTAATAAGTGAATTTTCCCACAATCAGATAAAAATGACTCAACTTTCCACCTCATCCAAAAGGTATCCGCACCCTTTCGGTAAGGAAGAATAAGTGAAATGTAATGATACCATGAGATCTACTCATATAATTGTGGTAAAATTCAATTATCCCTTCTTCATTGCCTTATGCAAACGAGGCTTATTAAATATTTAAACAAAATACAATTTACTGACATCCTGAAGCCTTAAAATACTTC